TCTGTGTCTGCTGGCCACCGCCTGCCTCCTCCGCGCTCGACGGCCACCGCCGCCGCTTCCCCTTCCGCTTCCACACCCACCGGCTGCCTCCCGCCGTCGGCCACTTGCGCCCGCTACTTGGGCACTCCTCCTCCCCTCCGCCCCTTGCGCCGCCCGCACCGCTCCTCCGACTGCGCCGCCACCCGTGCCGCTCCTCCGACCACGCCACCCCTCCACCTAGCTACTCCTCCGACTGCGCCGTCCCTCTGATCGGCCCTCGTCCTCCCCGTCGTCTCGGCGGTAGAGAAGAGATAAAGGTGGGGGGATTTTTTTTTAGAGTGGTGAAAGGTGAGTATAAATATGTGGTAGTTGTAAAATATTAGTAAAATATAGGATGTTGGTATATGGAGGATGCAATATGGATGATCTATTGGAGTGAAAAGTAAAATGGAGTAGGAATCTTTTTGGATGACTATCTAAATAGGAGTATGGAGGATGAAATTTAGATGAACTGCTGGGATGCTCTTAGCAATGAGCATTTGATGTCTGACTCCATCAGAAAGAAATATTTCCATGACTAGGTTACCTGATCCTGATCATGGTGTAGCTCCCGACACTTATTACTGAGCGTTTCCGACCCTGACGAGCCTCCCCAGCATGATGTTGGTAAGGTGGTAGTTGTGTTTGGTTCGGGTATAAGGTGGGATGTGTCACGTTCATTCATGTTTTTTTATGGGATGGACCTAGGTTATGTTTGATTCTATGAGTGGAACTGACCTAATTTTTTTTTCTTTGGTTTGAGGGATCTGTCCCTTGTTTGGTTGGAGGGATGTAGGTGAGTTGCCTAGATAGAGTAACCTTCTTACATTAGTTGGCGAGGCTACCTTTCATATAACATACACATTGCAAAAAAAGTATTTGGATATAAAGACCACACTATTTAAAAATAAATTACATTCATATGACTATATTTGGAAATAAAATGCAATTCATATCACATAGCCATCCCAAAAACCAAAGCAAAATACCGATAATTAGCATACATTAATCCTTATATCAATTCATACGTAGGAACTAGGAAGTGATGAAGCCACATATAATAATGATAATTAGCATACATTAATTATTGTAAATCATCTCATCAACAAATATACTTGCCCACATCACATAGTAATACTTGTTCAGATTAGTAAATTGTCTACTATGAAAAAATTGATGGAAAAAAATGCAATGTGCTTGAACAGATGCTATTTACAGTAAGGGATATTCATCTCATGCAAACGGAATCGCACAAATTTGGCACTGAAAATAAAATAACAGAGATTCTGCACAGTGCTAGAGTTTCCTTACCTTAGCTATGGAGGATGACAAGAGGATGCGAGGAGCAGTAGCAGACAAGAGAGAGGAGGGCACTGTAATAGGTTCCTACAGCCGATTTTCGCCTCTTGCCGCCACTGACGCCGCCTTTCCTTCCTGCCGCCGGCGGTGGCTTTGAAGACGAGGGGGCAGCAAAAGGAAGGATGCGAGAAAGGAGGAGAGAGAAGGGAGGATGGCACAGGCGCCACGGGCCCTGCCGCACGACACCGGCGTCACTAGCTCCTGCGCATGATGGCGCCGCCACCGCCCTCTTTTCTCTCGATCTGAATTGGAAAAACACGATACGGTGAGAAAACGCGATAGGGTTACCCTACTCCACGCGTGTACAGCACACGCGATACGCGAGAGATGAGATGGGATGGATCAGTCCGCCACTTGTTCACTGGACAAAGCCAACCCGGATATATACATAATATTCTTTTTGACCCAGCCCCTATGAAGTCCTTTAACCAAATATATTTTAAAAGTATGAAGTCATGCAAGCAGTGTTCTCAGAGTGGTGACGTGCGGCGGCAGGGCCGTGCTAGGACAGAATGCCTTCCAAACAGCATTCTGATCTGATCTGGACATTCCGGGCAACTACGTCCACGCCTAACGATTTTCTGGATCAGTGTTCTACCTATTTTCATTGTTCTGAGCAGCTGAGGGGCATTTTTTTAATAAAGGTATTCATTTGACGTTTATTTTAAATAAGATAAAACTAATTATTATAAAATTAACAATTTAAAACAACTGCAAATTATAAAATATAGATTGATATAAAATAAAATAAATTACTACTCCATCTGTCCCATAATATAAGATATTATACTTTTTATATTTTTCATAACATGATCCCGAGATCATACCTTATCCCCCACCTATCCACTTTTATACTATTTTATTCCTTACCTACTCACTTTTGTACTAATCCATGTCATTAATTATCACATTTTGTGCTTTCATTTGTTCTTTGTTCTTTTGATGCTTACTTAATTTTTTTTCAAATGATATAATCTAATATGGGACAGGGGGAGTAGAACACCGGTTTAAATATAGAGATGACAACCTACTGCTAAATCTCTATTTTCTTTGTGGTTGGTGAAAATCTATATAACTCAATACTACAAAAAGTGCCATTGGCGCATGTTGGGAAACCTTCATGTGTGCCGGATTTCCTAACCGGCACCCAGGAGGCAACACCTTTAAGGCTCTAGAAATTAAAAAAAAATCCGGTTCGATGCATCGACTCAAATCGAGCCGATACATCCAGTATCTCCTAATCACCCATGAGATCCCTATCCAAGAACACAATCATGAACAAAAATCACATAACAAAAACCATGAACACAAAAAAAAATACATGAACACAAATCATGAACAAAAGTCCTCAACAAACATCACGAAACAAAAACCATGGCCATCTACTGCTGCTACACGGTCTGAAAGGCGACGAAGAACTCGTTCGTGAAGGGCTCACCAGCCACCTTGAACTAGTGCAGCTCACCGAGCATGCTAGCGTACAGCTCCGACGCTTCGGCGTGGTGGTGGTAGCGGCGCTGGAGCACGAGGTGGAGGATGAGCTTGGAGTCATGGGCGCGGTGGAGGGACTTGTCGAGCGCGGTGATGAAGTTGAGGGTGTGGAGGGTGCCATCGAAGTAGTCCTCGATGAGGTCAAATAGGTCGGGGCTCTACCGCCGACGCTGCCCGATCCGCCGCTGACACTGGATCAGCCGCGGGAGCCCCCGCTGACGGTGTATCTGTCATGGGAATGCTGCCGATGTTGCCCCCCTCCCCCGTGCCTGCCACGGGAGCCCCCGCTAACACCTGATCCTCAACGGGAGTCGATTGCCGCCGACGCCGGATGCAGCTCCGCCCCACCGTCACCGTTGTCTCAACCGACAGAGAGGGGAGGAGAGGCTGAAGGGGTAGAGAGAGAGAGAGAGACGTGCTAGAGGTGGGGGGGGGGGCGAGTGGATAAGCTCCCTCTCGCCTCCCTTTGCACAAAAAAAATGGGGAGATCCTAGCAACTGGCTCCCATCTCGGTTTTTACGAGTGTTGTTTTTTTTAAAAAAATAGCACCGGTATCTATAGTTTCTTAAAGGTGTCGATTTTATATGTTTTGAGCCTATGGAGGTGGAAAAAGGTTTATAGATATCGGTTTTAGCACTTCCGATACCTATAGTGCGGACCTCTAAGCTCTATATACATCTTTATAGTAGTGACTTTTATATAGTTCTTGTCCTCTTCAAACTTTTGCAGGACAGTCCTAATGTCAAAATTAGTAGTATTACTACAGACCCCCTAAATGGTGCCGATTGGGAAACCCCCTTAGGTGCCGGTTTTCCCAACTAGCACCACGAAGGTGGCATTGATGAGTTCCATCATCGGTGCTGGTTGTAAACTGACACCTATAACAAATATAGGTGCCGGTAGTGGGGTTTCCAACTGGCACCTATGATGTTTCCACGAGCCAAAAAAACTAGCTCGATCCGTCGGCTCGATTGCATCGAGCAGCTCCCAATCACCCAAATCCCCCAAATACATCAACACATTTCATCCAACAACAACATTAAACAAACAACAAAATCAAAATCAAAGATCAACAACGCGTCAAATCCCCCAAATCCATCAACACATTTCATCTAACAACAACATAGAGGCATCCAACAACAACATTAAATAAACAACAACAAAATCAAAATCAGGGGGTACCTGGACACCATGGCGAAGCGAGGGGAGTTGGGGGAGGAGGTGGAAGCCTGCGCGTTGCCCACTGTGCTCGGCCTCCTCCACCACCACCGCCGGATCTGGCTGCCCCGAGTGCCGATGGCCTTCCCATGCCGCTGGCCGCCGCCCGACAGCCGCCGAGGTCCACCGCCTCCCCTCTGGCTAGATCTGGCAGAGGGGAGAGCACGGTCACTGTCCTGCCGCCTTCGCCGGGCCGCCGCTCCGTCAGGTCACCGCCCTGCCGCCTCCATCGGCCAGACTCCCACTGGCTCCCCTCCCGCCGGATTTGGCGAAGGGGAGGGCGCGACCGCGGCTGCCGCCGGCCACGAGAGAGAAGGGAGGGAGACAGAGAGAAGAGAGTGAGAGAGATGAGAGGAGACGAGAGAGTCGGGAGGAGACATCGAACCTTATCTCCTCTTGTGGTGAGGCCCGCCGGCTCGGCTCATCCGATTGCCGGCTCGGCTCGATTTATGTTTGTGTCGTTTTTTTAAAAGCCGACACCTATAATATATTAAAGATACGGTTTAGAAAACCGACACCTTAGAATAGGTGTCGGTTCTTATTTAGAACCGGTACCTATAATTGTTTAAAGGTGCCGTCTTTTGCGATTTCAACCTGCAGAAGTGGGAAAAGGCCTATTGGTGTTGGTTTTAGCACTTCCGACACCTATAGTGCCGATTTGATGTTTTGTAGTAGTGTAGAGAGTATACATCATCGCCCCAAGTTCTAAATTTTAATTCGAAGTCACAAATATACTCGTCAAAATCAGCATTCTGTGTATGACAATCGAACTAAAGCGGAAGATAGGGTTCTTGACAGCAAATCAACATCTCTCTTCACCTGAGAGGGAGAACTGGATGTCAGCGAGACAGCGACTCTCAGCGCCGATAGAGAGAAACATTTGGCGAGGAAAAAAATTAAAGATGACAGGGCAATTGGTTTGGTCCGACTCATTTCGATAATTCCATACATTTCCTCTCTGCAGGCCTGACATAGCGCGATAAACATCACACTTGTACTTTATCAAACTGCGTAAATTATTTGAGCGAATTGCAAGAGGAATGACTAAATTAAATTACATCCACCGTACAATATACAGGACAACAGCGCATTTATTTTAAAGCCATAAAAATTAAAATTCTAACATTCCCAATCTCGAAATATCTTTAAAGACAAATAATTTATATTTTAACTTTTGATTTAGGCATTTAATTTCGTATGGATTTATGTGTTCCTATCAATAACCTGCCCACATTCTTCAACGTTCCTGCATATTTCAGGAAAGCGTCCGTCTCTTATAGCTGACAATTGCTTTACCTTTGGGCCTCATGGAAAGCATGTCCTCAGTTTCGGGGAAAGGTGATTCTAATTTGAGCTCGAAATTGCTCACCAGGTGGCTCAAAATCACTTTTATCTGCTGGTAGGCGTAGCCCTCGCCCATGCATGCATGCTTCCCGGCGCCGAACGACAAGTAGGCAAGATCACGGGCGCCGGCAACGGCCTTGTCCTCCGCCCTCCCGGCGGCGAACCGGTCCGGGTCGAACACGTGAGGGTCCTTGTAGATGTTCGGGAGGAGGGTGTTGACCACCAGGGGGCTCGCCAGCAACCGCCCGGCAGGGACGCTGTACTCGCCGCCTTCCTTGTCGCGCACGGTGAAGCCCCGGCGCGCGCGCCGGAGGATCATCGGCGTGACCGGGTGGAGCCTCAACGCCTCCTTGATGCAGCGGTGCAGGACGTCCATCTGCAGCAGCACCCCGTAGTCGATGCCACCGCCGCCGCCGCCGCCATGGTGGCTGCGCTGCTGCTCCGCCGCCGCCACGAGCCGCTCCTGCTCCGCCCTGACGGCGCGCAGGTGCTCGGGGTGGGTGAGCAGGCGCAGTGCCGTCCAGACGGCGACCGTGGAGCTCGTGTGGTGGCCGGCGAAGAGCAGCGCCACTAGCAGCCCGGTGACCTCCGTGTCCGTCGTGGCACGGCCGTCCCCGTACGTCGAGTCTATCAGGTCCTGCAGCATGTCGTCCTCAACACGTCCAGACATCTTGCGCGTCTTGACGATCTGGGAGAATATCTCCCCGAGCTTCGCGCGTGCCTTGTCACGCCGGCGGTGCCCCGGCGTCGGGAGGTAAGGGAAGAACATGCTGATCAGGTGCATACCTCCCATGAGCTCGTGAAACAGTGAGGCAACCTCGTCGAACATGTTCTCCCGGACCTCCTTCCCGAGCAGGCACCGGCTCGCGATCAGCATCAGCACGTGATCCACCTCTTGCATCAGATCAACCACGCCACACTCTCCCCATTTCCCAAAATATTCCTATACAAACAAGATTAGTTTACGGAGATGATAACAGACATGATCTGAGCTTTGAATTTATAGGATCAGGTAATGGACAAAAAAAAAATGTACTTGCCTCGATCTCACAGACCATGGGAAGAACATGGCCCCTCAGTTTGGCAGGCCTCAGCATCTTGGCGAAGAAGCGATGCTGCTCGTTCCTTGTGTCCAAGTCGATGTCGTAGCCAACTTCTTTGCCAAAGATGGGCACGGTGACCTCGTACAAGCCATCGATAGCTATCTCCAACTCTGGCGCGTGGAAGAAGTGGTCGGAGCACTCCGGCCCGACGAGGAACGTCACCGCAAGCCCAAGTGACCTGAGCGTAAACACGCTGCCCAGCGCCCTGTGCTGCTCGCGGATCACGGCCTGCAGGCCCCTGCGCAGCACGGCTGGAATTATCCCAACCAGAGGAGCACCTTTCGCCTCCGGCGGAGGCCGCGGCTTGCTCGTCTTCTCTGCAGGGAGAGTTACTGATGATCTTACCACCTTCGCAGCTAGTGTAATGATGAAGACGAGGGCTATGGTGAGCCATGCGTTGGTGGAGAATATGTGATCCATGATCACAACCCAGCTGGAGCCTCTGCTTTAGTCTATACTACGCTCTAAGAAACAAAATTAACTACGGAGACGGATTTCATTCAATATAAATATATAGGGCCGTGGGGCGGAGAACATGTACTGATCCATGATCACAACCCGGCTGGAGCCTCTGCTGCCTCTGCTTTAGTCTATGCTACGCTACGGAATGAAATTAACTACAGAGAGAGACTTCATTCAATATATAGAGCGTGGGACAGTAAGTTAGCTGTCCTACTAATCTTGACAAGAATGACTCCATGTGTTGTCTATGGCTTATCATTCGATGTCGTCCCCTCTAAAGAGGCCAAACAATATTGTTAGGCGCATGTTAATATGTCTTTTAGGTAGGTTGCAAACCGTCTTGTGTCAAGCGCTCTACATCGCTAGTCTCCTTGTCACATTTCACCTATTTTGGAAAGTTTGCCATAGCTGAATGGGTTACGATTCAAGCCACCTTCAGTAAAACAAGCCTATATATCTTTTGCATACGAACTATGTTTTGATGTTCTTGTACTTGACGGAAAACTAACTTCGAGCCGAACAAAAATAAAAATTTAAAAACATGGGTTACGATTCAAGCCACCTTCAGTAAAACAAGCCTATATATCTTTTGCATACGAACTATGTTTTGGATGTACTTGTACTTGACGGAAAACTAACTTCGAGCCGAACAAAAATAAAAATTTAAGATGTTTTTGCTAGTATATATTTTGGTACATCATCTGTATTTTAGTTGGTTTTTAAGTTCATTCACTTTTGGAAATACTAATCCGTTTGTTTGAGTCGGATTTTAAGTTTTTTTGCTTTTTGAAAATACAAAAGAAGTCGTTAGAAATCTATCTATCTATTATATATTAAAAGTGCATTAAACTTCATAAAAACGCTCTCAAGCCGTCACGTGGCGCTCTACAAACGCTTTTAAGTCGCCACGTGGCACTCTAATAAATTAGAAAAAATCCTAGAAATTTTAAGAAAAAAGAAAAACATCCCTATTAGATATATCTCACAGAATTTGTACCCTTCCCTTCCCTTGCCGTACATGCCACCGTACGTAAGTGGAGTAGGTACATATGTGACGTATTCCATATACCGTCCCCTTTTCTCCTATTTTCTAACAACTCATTACAAAATAGTTTAAATTTTAAATAGATAAATAATTATGATTCTCAATTTATATACAACGTTAAATTCATTTGTACTATTTTTATTTTTAATTAGACTAGAAAAAAATACTCGTGCGTTAAAACGAGTGAAGACTATTTTAATCTTATTATTGTTATACGGTTTAGTTAAGATGAAATTTATTGTATGAAATCGCTTGGATATTTTTTTTTTGGAAAATTATGAGCTACAATTAGGAGCACTTTCTATATTTCCAAAAATCGAATAAACTTAAAAACCGACTCAAACAAGGATATGCATGTATTTTCAAAAGCGAACGGAATTAAAAACCGACTGATACACGGATGACGTATCAAAGTATTGATAAAAACATCTTTAATTTTTATAACAGCAAAGATAAATACATCAAGATCGGTATTGCATATATTTTGCCAGGTAAAGAAAAAACTGAAATACGTTTGGACATAGACCCTAGCGTGGCAGTCATTAAACAATATAAAAAAATGATAATAATTATACCATCTTAAATCATTCTATATATAAATATGTACACTAAATAGGAGTATCATCTAGGACGCAAACCATCACCTGTCACAACTTAAAAATTAAGAAATATCCTTGAAATTCTATGAGAAAGAAAAAACAAAACATCCTACCATCATTTCACACTTAAATGGCAGGCGTATTATTTTCAACCATTTGATATATCATTCTACTCTCATAAGCAGCTACATATCACATCTTAAAAATTAATAAAAATCACAGAAATTCTAAAAGCACGAAGCATCTGACCTCGATAAAATCATTATTTCAGCCATTAGATCTATATTTAAAGGCAAACTATATAAAAAACGAAGTAACATCCCATTCCCCCTCCCCCTCACCTAGATTAACAAAGCTCCATCTTTATATTCTGAAATTATAAATATATAGTAGATGAATAAAGATATCGTTGGAGTATATAAGCATATTAACAAAAATAGGGAGTTGGGAAATCGTCATTATTTAATTCAAGCTGCACGCATTAGATTTTTAACTTATGTGGTATGAAAACTATTCTACATGAACCAACATGAGTGCTAGAAAGGCCCATTAGGACACTTCCAAGGCTACACGTGACCGTCGATGGAGACAACAATTAATAAAAATTCATACGGAAAGCATAATTTTGTAGCAGCGAGAGCATGTCTAATATCATATCACGAAAAGACAACCTTGCATGAGAAATAACATATAAACTATAACTTAAATGATTATCTCAACTCTCCTTTGTACTATGTTATTTGTAGGAGTAACTTTGTCTAATGTGTCAATATTGTCGATTGCAGTAACATCCTTAACTCCTAAGATTTATTCTTAACATCCTTAACATCCACAACCCAACTGGAGCCTCTGCTTTAGTCTATGCTAAGCTACAGAACAAAATTAACTACGGAGAGGGAATTCATTCAATATATAGAGTCGTGGGACAGTGAAGTTAGCTGTCCTACGTACATACCAAACTAATCTTGACAAAAAACTGCTTTTTTATTCTATGCTACGCCACGGAACGAAATTAACTACGGAGAGGAACAAAATTAACTACGGAAAGAGAATTCATTCAATATATAGAGTCATGGGACAACGAAGTTAGAGTCATGGGACAGCGAAGTTAGCTGTCCTATGTACATACCAAACTAATCTTGACAAAAAACTGCTTTTTTATTCTATGCTACGCCACGGAACGAAATTAACTACGGAGAGGAACAAAATTAACTATGGAGAGGGAATTCATTTAATATATAGAGTCGTGGGACGAAGTTAGCTGTCCTATGTACATACCAAACTAATCTTGACAAAAAAACTGCTTTTTTAATCTATGCTACGCTACGGAACGAAATTAACTACGGAGAGGGACTTCATTCAATATATAGAGCCGTGGGACAGTGAAGTTAGCTGTCCTACATACAAAACTAATCTTGACAAAAATGACTCCATGTGTTGTGGTCTATGGCTTATCATTCGATGCCGTCCCCTCTAAAGAAGCCAAACATTCATCCTACCTAAAAAAACATTGTGGTCTATAGCTCCTAATTGTAGCTCATAATTTTCTAAAAAAAATAATGAAGCAAATTCCCACAGTAAATTTCATCCTAGCTAAACCGTATAACAATAATAGGATTAAAATAGCATTTACCTGCTGCAACGCACGTGTATTTTTCTAGTAAATAAAAAATTAGATGTTTTCAAGGTGCTTTGGCCCTTGCAAGTTTCGGCACCTATTTTTGTGAGAATGCCGGCGATTGGGCGCCCGATGCACGTGCGCATCCATCGGGTGCGCCGCGGCTTTCATCCCACCACGTGCGCGCCCATTGCAACAAACTGGCCACATATCACGTTAATGCATTATTAGAATGGATCCGTTCTTTTTTGTTCCACCAACAATGTTTCAGCTAGTGTACTTGTGATGTTTCCGTATGTATGTATCAAATGTTGTAGTGGATTTTTGATACTATTTAATAATTTCATCTTGATGGATACGTGGTTTGTTGATGTACACGGGGTTTAAGTGTTGCAATGGCTTTAAATCGTTTGTTGCATACGTTGAAACAAATTGTTTATCTAGTGATCTGACCGCGTTTCACTTTTTTTAAGAATTGAAACATTTCTCACTATTTGCTGAAATATTGTTTTTATATAGGGTGAAACAGCGCCCAATTTTTTTGAAACCTTTGTTTCATACGTTGTAGCAAAATGTTTCATGAGGTAATTTGGTTGTGTTTCAGCTTGAAACATTTTCAATCTATTTAGAGAAATATTTTCGATCTACTTGGTGCAACAGTGCCCGATTTTTGACAAAAAAAAGTCGGGCGCCCGATTTTTAGACGCTTCCCTATTTTTGCTGTTGTGTCTTCATGTAGTTTGAGACATTGGTGCTTCCAAATTGAGTATTTCTTGTTTGGATATGTTGTTTTATCATATTTGTGATGTGAACATACTCGCGAGGGGTGGCCCAATCTTCACGGCAGTAGGTTCAAGGCAAAAGGGTGCCGGCATAAACCGAACACAAGAGGGTAACTAGCTGCGAGCAGCAAGATGATAACTAGCTTTATACCTGCTACAATCCGAAGCCTCCTGGACTCCGACCCATCACATCGAGCAATCACAAAACCACGATCTGGAATAACTAGCTTCATACCTGCCAAAGTTGGATTCGACCAAGTAGTGAGGGTGAGAACGATCCGAAGCCTCTTGGACTCCGACCCGTCAAACCGAGCAATCACAGAACCACAATCCGAGACTAATCCACACAATACGGTGCAGCCGAGCTGGAAGCTGTAGAGCATGAACTAGGGGGCACCAGAGGAGCCTTCTCACATGTCTAAAAGAACTCACAAGAACAAAGGGGTAAGACACTTATGCAGTCTTCAGCAATCTTTCATACATGAGGTTTTCAGTTGAACAAAAGTTGTCAAATGGATGGAGTAGAGGGGTATTTATACTAGGAACATCCCTCCTAGTTGAGGTGTGAACATAAGAATCCACGTTATAGTGGTCAAGGCTAACATAAATGAGAATGCAAAGAGTTTTCTCGGGTTCGCGCACAACCCTTCAGTTCATGTGCGGTCTTCAGTAAAAATGGCATAACTTCTTATTGGAAAATGATATTGAGGTGGGGTTTGATGCGAGTTGTCCCTCTTTCCAACAATGTATGCCATGCACCCCGTATCTTGACTGGCTAGGTCACACAAGCCTTGGAAGTTGAGCCTTTACAGCGCAAACCATCTTCTTGTTTGCGTAAACAGCTGCTGGTTGGGCATGGGCTGATTCCTCCTCGGCGTAACCCTTGTAGTCCTCAACTTAACCCATCCTTCTTATCGTAGTGATGATGTCCTCGGGCGTGCACCTTAGCAATACAAAGGTAGAGCATTTAGGCAGTATAAAATTCTCACTAAAATTTGGGTTAAGTTGAGAAAATAGCGAGTTCACCTCTTGTTGTATTTTCCTTAGCATGGCTGCGCATAATTGTACCATGATATGCTTGATCGTTCTTACTGAGACGTAATCCATCAACTTGGTTTACGTC